GTGTGGAGTCTCCCTTCCCTGCTTACTCAGCAGACATTTCCAATCCTGCTCCGTTTGCCCCAGGAGACAACCCAGGAATTTGGGCCTCGAGGCCCCGCCCCTGTCAGCCCCATCCCCAGGTCTGCCTTCTTCCAGGGTGTCTATCCTGGCTGCCCTGGGCCCCTGGGCCCTTCCTTCTCTCAGAGAGCCCATCAGGGCTCAGCAGGCCAATTCCATACTCCACCCCCTCAAACCTCCTCAATCCACCAGCCAGCGGACTGGGCCAATTCAACAAGAGCAGTGTGTGTGTGTGTGTGTGTGTGTGTGTGTGTGTGTGTGTGTATGGGGGGGGGGGTGCTCAAATCCTCAGGTCTGACCTACCTGTCACCCAGAGGACAATCTTGGTTCTGCAGTACAAGGCCGGGGCTTGGGAGCCCCCTCAGTAGTGCCTTCCAGACCTGGCCTGGTGTGGGCAGAGGAGCACTGCCCCTCATTTGCTGTGTGACCTCGGACAAGTCACACCCTCTCTCTGGGCTGCTTCCCAACGCTCAGATGAGATAATGCCCAGTGAGGGCACGGTCCCTGTCACTTCCTGCCCCTCAGGGGCAGCGGTTGGGGGCAGTCACTCCCCTTCGCCTCACAGCCCCTCATCTGATGGGAGAGGAGCTATGTGAGCGGTCCCCAAAGTTCTCGGGACTTCGTTTACTCATTCAGTCATTTGATGTTCACTGAGCATCTTTTTTTCCCCTTTTTTTTTTTTCACTGAGCATCTTGCTGCTCTGGCCTGTGCTAGGCGTGGTGGGTGGGTAGGTGTCTCTCAAACATGCCCAGGTCCCTACCCTCATCCCTGGTGCCCCAGCTCAAGTCCCCCCCAGCTCTCTCCCCAGGGACCTTGGTATAAAGGTCCCAGACCACTCGCCTTCTAGCCCAGCAATCCTCCCCAGGGTGAACACAAATACTCCGCGTGGTCCATGGCCAGTGCTGTGAGCTGGGACGAGGCGGCGAAGAAGGAAAGAGTCACCCAGTTAGTAGTGACCAGCAGGGCAAATGACAAAGAAGAAAGATGGAAAGAGGGGTGTATTGGGATCCAGGCTGGAGGTCCAAAAGGGCCACCTCGAAGAGCTGGAGGCTGGCATTCCTGACTCCCTGGTCATAGCCTTCTCCACAGCCCCCCCCCCCCAGGGGCCCCCTGCCCCGGGCCCCACCTGAGCCCCCATCAGCACTGTCCTCAGGCCCCTCTTCCCAGGGCTGCGGAGGAAACTCATCTCCCAGCACATTTTGGCTTCTCAGTCTCCCAGTCTCAGGCTGCCGGGTGGTTGGTAAACAGCTTATTAAGGTGATTAACACTGCAATTAAAGCTGGAAAAACAGAGGCCAGGGTGCTGGCTGAAGGCTCCCCCTTCTCCCCCCTTAAGTTCTCCCCCCTCCTCTCCCTCCCCTCCTCTCTCATCCCCTAGGGGCTTGGTTGATGCAACATGGCCTGACTTGGCCAACCAGAGCCCTCCCGAGGCACTGGGAAGCTGGGCTTCAGGGGTCCTGTCTCAGCTGCCCAGAGCCCCTTCCCATGGAGGTGCTGGGCGGGGGTGGGGGTGGGGGTGGGGGGCTCTGCTGAACTGGGAAGTAAGTGGCAGCGATGGTGTGCTGCTGAGGCAGATGGTGTATGGAGGCTGAGTTGGGGTGAGGTCTCTAAGATGCCCTGGTGCCTGAGACCCCTTAAGGGAGGGGCCTTAGGGACAGAATCACCCTCCTCATCCACTTCCCCATGTGAGAGGGGCCGGGCTGTCCCCTCCCAGAAGTGGGGCCAGAGAGCTTCTAGACCCGGCTCCTCCCTGAGCCCAGCATTCAGGGACCCTCTGGATGCACATCTCCCCTCCAGCATCAGCTCCCAGAAACCCTGAGGCTCCACACGACCACGCTCTTGGGTTCTCCCCAAGCCTCCTTCCTCTCTACCACCCTCCCCTCCCCCTCAGTCCTGCAAGGGGAGTTATTCTGTAGGCGGGGTCCCCAGGGAGTATGCTCCCAGACCCCCAGCTCTGCCTGTCATAGCTGCCATGCTTTCAAGGCATCATTCAAATGCCACCTCTCCCTAAAGGCTCCCCACTGCCATCAACTGCCCCTCCCCTGCCCCCTGAAGCCATCCTGTCCTCCCCGACTGGATTGGGCTTGCCCAACGAGGGGGCCTGTCCAGGGTGGGCCCTGCCCGGGCCTTCCAGCACCCAGCACGGGTCTGTGCCTTCCTTCCCCGGGCTGCGCTCATCTGTTGTACCAGCTCCCAGAGCTGCCTGGCACGCAGCAGGTGCTCAATAACTATTCGTCGACTTACGCTAGTTTCGAGCATCCCTAGAAATGGGTGGATCAACCAAGGTGGCAAGTGCAGCCGGGGACCTGGGTCTGAATCCAGGGGTATGGGAACGGCGGAGGGGGCTGGAGGTGAGTGGGGAGCAAGCCCCATCCGCCCTGTCACCATCGTCACTAGCAACTTTCATTAGCTGAGCAGCACTCCCTGCGCTGGGCAACTTGTTAAGCATTTTCCTCACATTATCCTATTTAATCCTCTCAACAGCCCTGCTGGGTAAGTAGCATCACCCCTCTGTGACAGATGAGGAAACCGAGGCTTAGGAAGAAGGTTAAGTGACTTGCCCACGATCACACACGCGGTGAAGAGGCGGAGGCAGGGTTCAGGCCGTGTCAGCTGACTCCAGCGTGCACATTCCAGGCCTCAGCAGGAAGCTTTTTTTAGGACCAGCCCTGGGGAAGAAACCCAGCCCCTCCCGCCTCCCCCTCTCCCTGGGCTCTTCCCTGGGAGGAGCCCTGGTGGCTGAGGTGGGCGGAGCTTCCGTGGCTCCGGCTCTGGGACACTCTGCCCTGGGGCATCTTCGTAAACCCAGTAGCAGAAAAGCCCATTAAGAGAATCCATTCTTCAGACAGACCTGGGTTCAAATCCCAGCACCGCCAGGAGTATTAGTTTTGTGACCGAGACGGAACCGCTCAGAGCCTGTGTCCCCAACGGGTACTCTACCCCCCCACCCCACCCCCTCATGAGGCGCCCAGGTTGTTGTGGGGATCACATGCCAAGTGCCTGGCACAGAGCAGGCGGTTAGCAAATGCCAGCTGTTACTCAGGTTTGGAGAACAGTGACCCTCAGGGCAGACCGGGGTTCTCTAGCCCCCCCCTCCTTCCCCAAAGGTTTTCACAGGGTGATGGGTGTAGTCAAAAAGCACCTGGCCCCACCCAGGCCCCCCACCCAAGCCCCTGTCCTTGTGTCCCACCAGTGCTGGTGAAGGTGGCCTGAGCAGCCGGGAGGTGAGGCGAGGAGGAAGGGGAGGTCAGGGGTGGGGCTGACCCTGAGGGAGGTCACGGGGCAGTTAATCCAGCCTGACAGAGCAGGGATGAGCAGGGTGGAATTAGGAGCTTACAACATCCTTTCATCCCGCAGCAGCCCGCCCGCCAGCCTGCCCGCCCAGCCTCCCTCCTTCCTTCCTCTCTCTTTCTGCCCTTTTTTTCCCTCTCCCTCCCTTTGCTGGCAGCCCAGCCCTAATAAAATGCAGTGTCTCCAGCAAGTCTGCCGGCTGCCGCCTCGCTGCTCCTGCCTGCACGCAGCCCTCAAACCAAACTGCTCAGCTCAGCCCCGCCTGGCAGCTGCCACTTAACCCTTGCCAACCCGGCTGGCGTCCTTGGGCTGAAGGCCCTCCTCCCGTCTGTCTCCCTCAGGCATGGGGGGAGGGGAAGGCCTGCTCTCTGACAGGAAGAAGGGTGATATGGGGGCGGGGGTCCCCATTGTTCTGGAGCCCCTGCCCGAGAACCCCTCAGTGTGTGCCTGTGACTGCTGTCTAGCAAGGGCCTTCGGTGAGACCAGCTCCGTTTACCCCAGACTTATTCTGCTTCCCACCTCACAACAGCCCCAGGGGTCAACAGGGTGAGGACTGTTGTCCCCATTTGACAGATGAGGGAAACTGAGGCCTGACAGGCTGAGCTGGGTCACCTTGGCTGCTGTGGTGTTGCTGGTTCTCCATCCAAGATCTTTTCCAGAATAGGGAGCTGCCTCTGCCACCGCGCGCGCGTGGGGGGCGGGGGGGTGACGAGTGATGCGTGTTTGTGCACCTGGGGGCCCTCTCTCTCGTGGAGTGTTATGGCTTTGGCTTTACACGTGTGATGCTAAGGGGTCTCAGGTGTGTGTTTGTGTCTACATATGTGCCTACAGATGACATTTGTCTCAAGTGGGAGTCCATGGGTGTGTGATGATGCGGAGGCGTCATCTTGGTACGTGTGTGTATGGGAGAGAGTTAGCTTCACAATTGTACGCATACATCCACATTCACGGTGCCTCCCATCTGTGCCAAGATGTGTCCCTCGCTCGCAACTCCATTCATTCTACCGCCTCCAGCTCGGTCTCCGAAGTCTTGAATCGGGCAGCTAGAAGAGGAGGGTGGTGGCAGCAAGCAGGCACTGAGTCAAGGCCTGCGCTGTCCCTGAGAAGTAAACACAGAACCCCTCGTCTGTTTGCTTTCATCATCCAGCCTGGATCCCAGTGGCCTGGGGTCCCTGCCAACTGTGAGAGCAGTGGTATTCCCCTTGCCTGAGGCCCCAACCTCACCCCACGCTGGGAAGGATAGACAGGAGGGTGAGGGGCCGGGGAGTGCCTGGGCGTGGAGGCAGGGGGTGTACACACGTGTGTAAGCATGTCTGCGTGTGAGCCCAAGATCAAAGAGCAGCCCCGAGGTGACCCAGCGGTGGCAGTGGCGGAGGGCATCTGGCTGGCAGGGACGCCAAGCCACCAAACAGAGTGGAGTCTGGGAGGCCGTGGCACTGGGAGCCTCCCACCCACCCAGACCTGGGGGCAGCCATGGGGTCAGGAGCACCTGCTGCCTGGGGCCTGGCCCAGCCCAGCTCCTGGAGGCTCAGCGCTCTCTCCCCACCAAACACCTTCCCCAACTTCCATGCCCTCCCCGAGAGCCGCCCCACGCCCCCCCTCCCCGCCCCCCGCCTCCCCATCTGCTCCTGCCTCCAGTTCAAAGAGCTCAGTGGTTATTTCCTTCTTTTTTATTAACATTACATATAAAGATGGTCCAGTAAGAAAGCAGAAATGAGAAGGCTGGGAGTGGGAGCTAGCTCCGTTCCTGCCCCCCTGGGTGGGACTGTTGGAGATCCACCATGTCTCTTCTCATTTCTGCACCCCCCACCGAACCCCAATCCAGCCAGAGCCCAGCCCTGTGTCTCTCAGCTCACAATGCACAGGCAGGTACATCCAGGAGGAAAGGGACACATAAATAGGAAACCACACAGGGAGGAGGCAGCTTCTTTCTGTTGCTCTTAGAAAAATACAGACTATATATATATATATAGCTACAGTCTTCTACCTCTCCTCTTCTGCAAGGGTTGACCACATCAGGGGTGGAGGAAAGTTAGCTCTGGGGAGATGTCTCAGCCAGGAGGGGCAGTGCCACCAGCCCTCCGATAGCCACCCCTTCACCCCGCAAGGCACCAAGCTACAACTACCCCCCTCCTGTGCACCTCACCCCATGCACTCCGTTTCCAAGGCCACCGGAAAGGGGGTGTTTTGGGGTTTGTCTTGCCTGGTATGTCTCCTTGGAGACTTGGGGTTTGGCACCAAAACTGCCAGCTTACTGGAGAAGAAGAGGAGGTGGGGTGGGGGGAGAGGAAGAGGTGGGGGGAGAGGATGGGGAGGGCAGAGCAGAGGTGCCTACCGAGGGGAGATTGATCCTATCTGTTAACAATGCCCTTTGTTTTCCTATTTTCAACAGCTTTTAAAACCAAAGTTGTGCAAAGTCCTGTACACAGAAGAAGAAATGGGTCCTTAGGAAAGACTTCTAAGACCCACCGCTCCTCTCCGACCAGAGCGGGGAGAGGAGGGAGATGACTCCTGGAGTTCTTCCCTCTGACGCCCCAAATATTAAAATATCCCCCTCCACTTTCCTTGCTTTGACCCTCAAATCCTAAACGAGGGCTGCAAATGCAGGGCGGGGGCTGGCTGGGGTCCCACCCTGAGTCCCAGTCTCCACGTTCAATGTCTCTTTGGCAGCGGGGATGGTCAGGAAGAGGGGGCCACAGTTCACGTAGGAGGAACCAGGCCTGGCAGGCCCCGGCACCCACAATGCCTGGTGTCCCAGACCAGGCCCGACCGGCAAACACTCCCCAGTCCCCCAGCCCCACGGTCTCCAGTCTGGGAAACAAGTACTAAGTGTTAGAGGCGGCAAGGTGACAAGCCACGTAAAGCCAATCCAGGCCCCTGGGACAGAAGGAGAACACCTGTCCCGGCTGGAGTGGGGTGTCCCAGCATCTGGAAGGGTACCCCAGTGTCTAGGCAGGGGGACAGAGGTTCAGGGGACATCCGTGGCCCATGCAAATTTCATCTGGAGCTCTTGGGTCCCTGGAGGAAGGGACAAGGGCAGGGGAAGGGGCGTTCCCTTTCCCCGGTGCTCCTCGATGATTCCTGAGTGTCGGTGAGGACAGAGACGCCTTCTGTCTGGTCCCGGGAGTCCTTCGTGGGAGGTTCAGGCCAGGTGGGTGCTCAGTACACAGCCCCAGGGTTGGGCGGGGGCCCCGGCGAGGCATGGTGCAGGGTGGCCGGCTGAGGCGGCTGCTGCTGTAAGTGGGGTCCGCTCAGGTTCTGTGCGTGGTACCAGGAGTTGGTGGGGTCGTCCAGGTAGCTGGGGGAGGCGCTGTACGGGAGCGGCGGGGGCAGCTGGCTTCGGGCAGGGGCCGGAGTGGAGTGGGAGGAGGTGTCCCAGAGGGCGGGTGACGGAGGCGAGTTGCAGGCCATGGAGTCGCTGTTGTTGGGGCTGTGCTCCAGGGGCACCTCCCCGTTCTTGTAGAGCTTCTTGAATTTGGAGCGGCGGTTCTGAAACCAGATTTTCACCTGCACCCGAGAAGAAAGGGGGAGCTAGTTTAGCCTCTCAGCATGCCGAGCGAAAAGAAAAGCCCGCGGGACATCCAGCTTAGAGAGGGCAAGGCCAGTCCCCTGCCACACGCCAGGACCCAGGCAAAACCCTGGCATCCTGACTCCCAGGCCGCCATCTTTTCTTCTACCCGGGATAGAGCTGTGGCCGGAACTTCCAACCGCCTGGGTCCAAATTCTACGAGGCCACTCACTCCGCCTGTGACCTTGGGCAAGTTACTTAACCTCTCTGGTTCTGGCCTTCCTCATCTGAAAGTGGGGGTGCTCAGAGCCCCATCACCTACCTCCCGGGGTCATTATGATGCTCAAATGAGTTAAGACAGAGGAAGAACTCGGAGCAGCCGGGTATACAGCAAACGCCCAGTCAGAGGCACCCAGGCGGGCGATGGGCAGTTGGTGGCCTCTTGTTCACATTAGATACGCAGAGGCACACAGATACAAACACACACCCACACACGCATCTCCATGTGCAGGAACGTACCCACTCGCCACTTCACACACAGACACCAGACTATAAAGATGCACACACACAGATCCTCCTCCCAGATAAACACCCACAGACGTGGTCACACACCCGGGCACGGAGGAGACCTCCGGGGCTGCCTAATGGGGGTGACCTGGGGACTCGGGAGCAGGTGAGCCACGCTTCCCCACACTTCCCCAGGGTATCTCCCCCTCCCCCTGCTGCTCCCCACCCCATGACTGGTACAAACAATGAATCAGCTTCTCACCGGGTGACCCAGATTCCCGGGCTACGGGGCCCCACGCAGGCAGCCGCAGCCCAGGCCAGCCTGTCAACACCTGCACGGAGCCAGGCAGCCACCACTCCTCCCCTGAGCAGGGACAGGCTGCTGGGGGCTTTAGGCCGAGGGCGGGGCTCCCACCTTGAGTCCCTGTCCCCCTTGGGAGGGAATCTCTCCTCTCCGCTCTGCTCCAGGCAGAGGAAGGGTGGAGCATGGAGAGTGTGGTGTTTTGAAGCAAGTATGCATTTTTGTGCCTGCACTCACCAGTGTGCACAGTCACGTCCACAGCCCCCCTCCACAAACGCCATGACCCTTGACAGGTCACCCCCCTTTATGTGCGCATTCCCACGTGTACCCAGACACAAGAGCACGAGTGCAAATATTGTACACGCGTGTGCACATGTACATACACCTCTGCACACACGCTGGCCTGCTGAGAAGACACATGTGGACTCCTATCAAGCGAGGGGCCAGCACTGTGAGTGGGGAGGGGGGACTGTAGGAGCTTGGGGTTCAGGAGTAGAGAGGAAGGACGACACCTCTGCTGGCCACAGACATACACAGTTGCACAGGCTCTCAAACACCCATGCGGTGCTAATCGGGAACTTCGGACAGAAGTGAAGACTTGGGGGGCCCCTCTACCCACAGGCAAGGGCTTCCAAGGGCTGCAGGGAGTTTAAAAGGCCCTTCAGGCTCAGTAGTGCCTGGGGAGTCCGGGGTCCCGCGCGCGGCCCCACCGACGCCCCGCAAGCCTAGATGTCCCCCAGACTGACCTGTGTCTGCGTGAGGCCCAGCTGCGCGGCCAGCTCGGCGCGCTCGGGCAGCGCCAGGTACTGGGCCTTCTGGAAGCGGCGCTGCAGGGCGGCCAGCTGGTAGCTGGAGTAGATGGTGCGCGGCTTGCGGACCTTCTTGGGCTTCCCGTTCACCATGCGCACCTCGGCTTCCGGCTCCTCTTTCACCGACACTGCGAGCAACGCACCGGGCGGGAGGCGGCTTAGTGGCGGCCTGCGGCCCCGGCGACCTCCCGGGCCCCGCGGGGAGCCCCACCCTCGGGCCCACGAACTCCCCCGGGATTTCCAGGCTGCGCGCTCCGCCGCCGGCGCCCGGGGAGGGAGCGGCGGCCACAGAGCCGACCGGCGGCCGCCCTCGCCCGGCCCGGCACAGTCCCGGCGCCCGCACCTCCCGGGCCGGCTCCGCCAAGGCTTTGCTCACGGCGCCTTCCCGGCTCGCCGCCCTTCTCTCCCCAGCTGGCTGCCTCGCTTCTTTCCTCGTTCCCAACCCTCATTCCTTCTTCTTCTTTTTTTAAAAAAAACTTTTATTTTAGGAGAATTTTCGGGTTTCTGAGAAGTTACAAGCATAGTGCAAACTCCTCCCCGCCTCTCTGCCTTTTTTTTCCGTCCGGTCCCCCGTTCCTTCCTTCTGTCCTTTCTCTCACTTTGTCTTCACCTTTCTCTTTCAGCTCCTCCACTTCTCGGTCGCTGCTTCCCTAATTCTGGGGTGCCTCTCTCCGCAGGTCCCCCTCACCATCCCCCATCTCCCGGCCCAAATCCACAGCGTCCCTGGAGCTTGCTGTCCCCGATGCCCACCCCCAAGCCCTCTGCAGCCAGATGGAGGACTGTCTGCCGAGCTCCCCGCGAAAGCACCTCCATTAGGAGTCTCCCCGACAACCCGCGGCCCCCTTCCGCTCCCCCCTAACTCTCCCCGATCTCCCTCCGAGGCCCGGGCGCGGAGCGAGCAGCGCGCCCCAGACGCGCGCAGTGCCGGGGCTGGAAAGCCGGGCTTCCTCCCGGGGTCGCCTTCCGCCTTCCCTCGCCCCGGGCCGTCCCTGTCGGGTCGCCGACGCGTCTCTAGATCTCGGCTCCAACTCCCCGCCTTCCTTCCCCCGGGGAGCCCGCCGGTGCCTCCCACTCTCCGCGTCCTCACCTGGGTCCTGGGCGGGCAGCGGCTGCTCCCGGTACCCTCCGTACTGCCGGTAGGAGGTCCCGTAGGTATATTCCGACTTGGGCGAGTAGGCGCCCGTGCTCGCGAGCCCGTTGAGGTTGAACTGGGGGTGGTAGGTGTAGGGGTTCACCGTCTGGCCGTAGGGCTGGCCCGAGTAGTAGTCGTGCTGGGGGGCACTGTAGTAGCCCAGGTCGGTGACGGACGACTCGGGCAGGGTGGGCGAGTCCTTGGAGCCCGCATGGCAGCTCAGCGAGCTGGAGATGTCGGTGAGGATGCTGCTGAGCTTGCGATCGAAGGAGCCACTCATCGTGGCGGGAGCCGCGCCACGCCGGGGCTGGCCCGGCCGCCGGCGGGAGCGCGGGGAGGCGGAGGAGCCGAGGCGGGGTGTGTGTCCGCAGCGCGGGAGGAGGGTCCGGCGGCGTCTCGGGGGAGGGGAGGCCCAGGGGCGCTTAGACTGAGCGCCGGCCTTCGGACGGTCGCTGCGCGCGCCTCTCGCCGGCCGCGTCCCCAGCCGCAGTCCAATGCCGCCAGCGCCGCCCGGCCGGCCGCTTATAGACTCGGAGGAGTCGCCCAGGGAGGCTCCGGCGCGCTGATTGGCTGCAAGTCTTGCCTTCGAGGCAAAACACGCTCTAGTGCTCTTTCGTTCGCCGCTCTCCTCCTCTCCCCTCCACTCTTTGTTGTTACACACGCGCGCACACACACACACACACACACACACCCGCTCCTCGCTCCTCCTCTCGAGGCTTTCCCCCCCAGCCCCGATAAACCCCAGTGTCTCTGAAGGCAGGAGTGGGGGTAGGGTGTCTGTGAAGAGACCCCAGAATCTGTCAGTGTGTCCCTTTCCCTGGCTGGGGGGTGGGAGGGGGGCTCAGGTGCGGTGAGGAAGGAGGGGGATTTGCCCATTGGGTGCTTGTGGAGGGAGGTGGTCTAAAGGGATGTGTGTTGGGGGGGAAGGGGGGCCCACAAGTGACAGGCAGACAAACCTGACCAAATGGGAAAGATCCAGGGCCCATGAAACTGTTTTAATTTCTTTTAAAATCAAAAGAAAGGAAAAAGAGAATCTAGGTTGAAGAAAATGTTTGAATATATAATATTAATTGCCTTTACAGCAATGCAGTCATAAAAGGTAATTTTAAAACTTTTTTTTTTTAATGGAGGAAGGTGTCCATCAGGCAAACGTGCCTTGGGCTTACAAAAGTCATACTTCAGCCCTGGGAGAGTCGGGTTGGAGGGGCAGAGGGAGGCAGGTGTGTGTGTGGAGGTGGGGGCCTACGGGACGGTGGAGTGCACAGCTATCCCTAGTGATATTAGAGCCGTCTCTGAAACTTTGCGTGTGCAGTATTAGAGATCACCCAGGAGCCGGGGACCTGGGGTCGGCATGAAGTTGGGGGACACACAGGCTGAGTCTCTGTGTTTCAATAAGTTTGGGGGCAGAGTCTGTGCATTTGGGGAGTGTGGGCATTGTTAGAGATCAGGTGTGTGGGACAGGTGTACTTGGGGTGTGCAATGTGAGGGTTTCCTGTATTCTTCAGTATGCTGAGGTGTATGTGAGTGCAGGACTGTGTGTGAGAGAAGGTGTGTGTGACTGAGTGTGAGTGTGTGTGTGTGTGTGTGTGTGAGTGTGTGTGTGTGAGCAGTGGAAGGAGAGGGTCCTGGGACGGCGTGTCTGTATGTGAATGTGTGGCTGTGTGCAGAGGTGTATAAGACTCCCAGTCCCTTCCCAATACCCAGCACCTGGGAACCAGGATGCTTTTTTGAACCTCGTTCCCAACCCCGAAAGGTCCTAAAGAAGGGGCTCCCAGACCTGGGGACATCCCCAGATCCTAGTCTTGTTTGGCACACAGGGGCAGCCCTTTAGGTCACCCAACTTGTTCCCAACGCCTAGCCCATGTCTCCATTCCACCCCCAATTCTGCGCCTGCCTTTCTTTGGGATGAGAAGGAGTTCCCACAAATCTCAGTTCCTAGCAGAATATTTGAATCTTCTCAACCATCCCCGGGACAGGCAGTGCCAGCGCGCCACCTTGTGGTCACTCCTGGGCTCTGCAGCCTCCCCCAGCCCGGGGAGGGGTGTCTCTTGTGGGCTCTGTCGGGCAGAGAATAGCGCAGCGGGATCTGTGCGCCTTTCCAAACTCAGACTCCCCGGGCAGCGTGCCCGGGGTTCCAAGGGCTTTGAGAGCTGCAGTTGGCAGAGACTGAGGGTCATAGTCCGCGTGCCGAGGGGCAGGGGTGCCCGCCAGGTCTGAGCGGCTCCGGGGAGGCCTCGGCATGGGAAAGGTGGGGGCGGGGGCCAAGAAAGGGGAGCGCTATCTGTCTGTCTATCTCCGCGTCCCCCCAGCGCCTATCGCCCGCCGCTCGAGCCCATGGCGGGGCGAGTTGCCACCCGCTCTGGATGCCCTCTGTTCTGTTGCCAAGAGGGTGCCAAGAGAGCCCACGGCGTCGGGGGCAGGAAGGGCACTGGGCAGGCCGGTTCCCCTCCCAGGATGGGAGCGGGGGAGAGGGGGAGAGGCGGGCAGGGCCTGCTTTGGAGCCCCAGCTCCCTACAGAGAAGGGGCAGCGTCAGACAAGCCCCTTCTCTGGCATTCATTCATTCGACCATCAATTCATTCATTCATTCATTTATTCTTTCAGCAACCTACACGAAGAGGGCCAGGTGATTCAGAGATGGCAGGGTATCTACCTTCCTCATGAGGTCCTCATAGAAGCTCACTCCTTTCCCCTCCTCCCTCCCACTCCTACCTGTGGCTCCCGAGTAAAATGAATGAAGGAGCACTGGACTGGGAGTCCAGGAATCATGAAACAGTCGTGATGTTGGTGGTGGGTGACATTCATTTCTATGCTCCATTTTGCTGTGGAAATCTAAAAGGTCTAGAAATGGACTAAAACGTCAGCCTTGGGGACCTTCGTGAGCAATTAGGTAATGTGAGGCTAACATCTGGTCCCCTTGCACTGTGTGCTCCACGACAGCAGGGGCTGTGTCTGTCCACTCACTGCGACCTCCCAGATACCCAAGGCAGGTCTGGGCACACACAACCTCAGTGCAAAGAGATGTGCGTTGAATGAAGGAGCGAGACTCCCTAATACTGGAGAGCAGCTGAATCATCCTGGCTGGGTAGGCTTGCAGGGTTAGGAAAGGGGGGTCAGGGAGCAGCACTGCCATCCAACTGCCCTGCCCCACTCCAGGGCAGGAGCTGGAGCAGATTCCCTGACGAGGCCACGATGGCCTGAAAGGGCCCTGTCAGGCCAGCAATACTGGAGCCACCAGCCGCTGGGCGGGCACCTGCTGGCTCAGGGTGGTGAGGTTCCAGGAGGATGTAGTGGGACCAGTGCCGCCCACTGCGCCTTGTCTGGACCAACAAGAAGAGCAGGTGTCAGCCTGGTCAGAATGCTGCCCCTGGTGGCGGGGTGATGCAGGGCAGCCTGTCGGCGGCCTCTGGGCGGCTGGCGGGAGGGAGAAAGGTCAGGGCTGGTCCATTACCCACCCTCTACCTGGCGTGAGAAAAGGAACCCTGTTGAAGTGAGCTGTTTCCTAGAGGCCAAGTGTCGTGCCACCTGGGCACGGCCCCCACAACTGGGCTCACAGAGTGCGGGGAAGGAACTCAGGACGGAGGATGAACCCTAGAGGGTGGACGGACCAGCCCTTGCTCTCTCCGTTTCCTGGGGATCTGGCGCCATCTAGTGGTCAGTGTGAGGAGGCCAGAGGCCAGCTCCACTGGGGGGACCTGGGAAGTGGGCCCATGCAGGGGCCTCACCGTCATACCCAGAAGGACTATAACCTTAACTTATTTTAGGAGCCACATCAGCACCAAATGTTCACCTTTCATCATGACCTTGCCTTCCTCTGCAGCTGCCACCCCTCCCTTCTCCCGCCCATCCTTGTCTCGCCAGTGGCTCCTTCCCTTAGGTTTCTCATCTGTAAACCAACGTGTCCTCTGAGGTCCCTTCGAGCTCTGCTGCTCTATGATTCTAAGTTCCAGGACTTCTGTCTCCCAGGGAGAACGCCCTCCACTTTCCTGCCAGCTCCCTTGGAGGTACATCCAGGCCTCCAGGCCTTCGCAGCCTGGGCATCCTTCTGGGGGCCTTCATCCACTCGACACATACTTTCTGAGCCTCTCCTGTGCTGGGTGCGAAGGACGGAGTGATGAGCAAGGCAGACACAACGTGCCCCACCGTGGAGCTCGAGCTCAAAGTGCTCAGATGGGGGTGGCAGACACTGCTGTGACAGCCGAAGGGGGCTTCCAACCGTTCACGGAGGCAGGAGGCGATCTGAGCTGAGACCTGAAGGCCGTACTGGACTTGGCAGGAAAAGCAGGGGTGAGGGCCCAGCCGGCGTGGCTCAATGGTTGAGCGTGGACCGATGAACCGGGAGGTCATGGTTTGATTCCCGGCCAGGATATACGCCCGGGTTGCAGGCTTGATCCCTGGTGTGGGGCGTGCAGGAGGCAGCCGATCAATGATTTTCTCTCATCATTGATGGTTCTATCTCTTTTTCCCTCTCTCTTCCTCTCTGAAATCAATAAAAATACATATTTTTTTTAAAAAGCGGGGATGAGAGGGAGGAGAGAGTTTCCAGCCACAGGTGAAAGGCTTCTGGGACTGCCTGGGGCATAGCTTGGTTGGGGGGGGGGGCAGGGGTAAAACTGGAGTGGCCTGGAACCCACCAGCAGGAAAATGGGCTTTACCATCTGGAGCAAGCATATCAAACTCAAAGGCTCACACGGGCCACATAAACGAGGCATTCTACAAGGGTCCCTCTAGCTGCTGTGTGAGGATGAACCAGAGGGGACAAGATTGGAGGCTGAGAGGCTTACACACTGCAGAGAAGGCCAGGCAAGAGGGGAACTGGGTGTGGGTTAAGGAGAAGGCAGTGTGTGTGTGTTGGGGGGGGGAGTGGATTTGAGAGATAGAAGGTGGTCTGGTGATGGCACTTGGATGTTAGTAATAAGGAGAGGGGAACAGCGGAGAATGACCCCAACTTCTGACATGGGCAACTGAGTGGAAAGCTGGAACCTGCTCCGAGAGAGAACGCTGCGGGGAGAGGGTGCTGGATGGGGAAGATGTGTCCTGTTTTGTTTTCTTAACTTTTCATTCGAGTAGAACATCCATGAAGAGAAGTGAGAAATCATCATCAGTGGGTTTGCATGAGCCAAACGCAGCTGTGTGCCTGCACCCGGGTGAGTATCGGGTTGAGAAACAGTGTTACCGGCACTCAGAGCCCCACCTGCTCCCTCCAGTTACTGCTCCCCAAGGGCAGGCAGTCTTAACTCCTGGCTCCGTGGGTCGGTGTCGTGACTTTTGTGAATGAACGTGGGCAGCATGTGCTCGCTCACGTCTGGCTTCTTTTGCTCATCATGTCTGCGACCTTTCTCTGTCGTGGAATATGTTTGTAGGTCGTTTGCCTTCAGAGCCGTCTATGGGTCCTCCATCATATGAATATCCCACCACTTACTTACCTGTTCTACCGTGGATGGGCATTTGGGTAGTTTCCTGTTTGGGGTACCACGAATATTGCTGTCAGCATCCTTGTA